CCTCCTCCTCTTTCTTCTCCTCCTCCTCCTCCTCCTCCTCCTCCTCCTCCTCCTCCTCCTGTGGAGGAGCTCCCTATTCACCAGTCTGGTATAGAGAGTCGGCGCTCAACATTTGAGTACGAAGAAGAAGAAAACGCCATAAACCTAAACTTTCGGCGCTCCGCGCGGATTTCTTGGATCGGCGCTGGGCCCCCCCCCTGGCGGCGCCTCCTGCGCCGCCTCTGGCACGCTCCGCGCGCCAGGGAGGGGGGTCCCGCGCAGATCCAAGAAACCCGCGCGGATCGCCAAAAGTTTATGTTCATGCCGTTTTTTTCTTCTGCTAGGTATGGGGGCCGGCGCTCGACATGTCCAATATGAGCCCGGTAAGGGGGCCAGGAGCGGGAGGAGGACCGCTTGGAGGAGCAGGAAGATGTTCATTCAATTATTTGCAAATCCTGTGTAAGGCAAGCGAGCTGCCGACTGTAGAATGAGGATGGTTGCCAGGACCTGCGCTGAATGCACTCACATATGTAATGCGGCCAGCGGGATCTTGCTCGCTGCCGATAGAGAGGATCACACTATACGTATGTATAGCTATAGTTGTATGTATACACATAACTATATATAAGGTATTGATGTACATGTCTGTATATGTATTTACACATGCATGTGCGAATCTGTTTATGTCTATATAGACAGAGGGAGGCCTTCGGCCCATCCCACCAGCGTGCTGGGGCTTTGGACAGTAGGCCTTTTGGAAGCCTCGCGTGGGCCTCTTCGAGGTTTCTTGGGCCCTCTTGGTGGTTTCTTGGGGGGCCTCTAGGGGGCCTTCGGCGGCCATCATGGGGTGGAAGGCTCGAACGGCCCCTTCGCTTTCCCCATCTTGGGGCCACCTTTTGGGCCTCTTAGGTCCTCGGGCGCCCTTCTGGGGCCCTCTTGAGGGCCTCTTGTCTTTAGACGTCTCCTGCAACGGCCAGGGCGTGTTTTCCCCATATCCTGAGTGCGGGGTTATTTTATTTCTGGGACGCCTTCGCCTCCTCACCCGCGCCCCTCCCCTCCTCCCGCTTCCTCCCTGCTCACACTCAGAGGCTCACTCACAGTCAGACTCGCTGACCCTCGGACCCCCTCACAACCAGACTCACACCCAGACTCACTCACTCGCACTCAGAACCACCCGCGCAGACCACTCACACTGAGGCTCGCCTCACCTTCGCCTAGTGAGGCCGTCTCGAGCGAGGCGCCGCTTTCAGCACCCCAAGGGAGCCACCAGGGAGTGTGACACTCGCCCGGTCGCGGCCAGATTGTGGGGATGCCTCGGGTGGTTTGCCTGTCTGGTGGCCAGGACTCTTGCGATTTCAGGAAGTACAGTCGCGGCCCTGAAGAAGGAACCCTTCTCGTTGGGGAGGGACTCCGCGTTCCGTAAGTGTTGCACAGCTTGCCTCAGGGTTTTCTTATGTTTCCGACAGGAAATCGAAGGTTAATTGACGGAAAAAAAAGGGCCTCGTTCCTTATTTAGGGTTCCTTAGGTCAACGCCCCGACTGTATTGCGAGGATGTCTCGAGCGAGGGGCCGGATTCCGCACCCCAAGGGGGGGAGCCGCCACTGGGTATGAGACTCGCCCGTTCGCGGACAGATCGTGGGGATGTCTCAGGCGGTTCGCCTGTTGGGTGACTTGGACTTTGGTACTGTCTGGAGCGATTGCGAGGGTATCTCGAACGAGGCGCTGCTTTCGGCACCCCAAGGGGGAGCCGCACACGCCCGTTTGCGGCCAGATTGTGGGGATGCCTCAGACGTTTTGCCTGTTTCGTGGCTTGGATTTCGGTTGTTCACCACCACAGATGGCGAGTATTTCTCGAGCGAGGCGCTGCTTTCAGCACCCCAGGGGGGTGCTGCCAGTGGGTGTGCCACTCGCCCGTTCGCGGCCGGATTGTTGTGGGGTATTTCTCTGGTGCTTTTGCTGGTGCGGTGGCTCGGACCTCGGCGGTTTCGGGGCAGGTGGCGAGGATGTCTGGAGCGAGAGGCGCCGGTTTCGGCACCCCAGGCGGCCAGATTGTGGGGATGTATCGGGCGAGGCGCTCGGCGTCGTACCTCCAACTCTTTGTCCATTCAGAGACCCACGGTCACTTCGATGCAGGGGCCGCCAGGGCGGAGGAGGGAGGGCGGATGAGGGAGGAGGAGGACGCAGGAAGAGGGGGAGGAAGAGAAGGGAGGGGGTACGACGAGTAGCGAGAGGAAGGAGAGGGAATGGGACCTGCTCACCGCCTGTATGTCTTTGAGTTCTCGCCGTCGCTATACTTGTCGTAGCCGCCGCCGTCGTCGTCGTACTCGTCGTCCACTCGGACTCGCTCTCACACCCAGGCACTCACGGCCAGACACTCACGGCGGAACGTGCCAGGAGCTGAGATGCACGTCTGAGGATCTCCGCGCCGGATAATTGGTTCCTCTGCTGGAAGCTTCAACGTTTTATGTCATACGACGGTTCCGTTTCATGTTCCGTTCCTGGAAACAACGTAAATCGCAAGCTGATGTCGTTTTAGTTGTCGTTGCGTTACCCGCGCAGTGCTCACGTGTTAAGTTTCCAGGTCTCCGCCTGCCTCCTCGCCCGCCCGAGTCGCTTCCAGTTGGCTTCCATGCGCCTTCAATGCGTTGTCCATACTCTCATACTTTAGCCGTTCCTGTCCCTTTGGAGCTGCGCTTTTCAGCTGTCGTTTGTTTTGTTGTTTTTCCGCTCCGCAGTCGCGCAGCTACTTTCGTTCCGTGTACGAACTTCGTGCGATTTTCGATGCCAGTTCTCCAATCGAGAAAACCTGATGAACCAACGCCCTGGTTTGGGCCGCCTTGGGCATCTTCGGACGGGGCGCGGACGAGGATAAATCCGTTCCAGAGCGTCCCGTAACGCTCTCAGAGCGTTCCGGAACGCTCTGAGAAGGCTTCGGCGCCCGAGGCATTGTCCAGAGCCGCGGTACCTCAGAGATTCTCGATGCATTCTCGCCCAATGTTTTCCTCGTCCTGGCTTCGTCCTTACTCTTCAGGCAGAGGGACGGCAAGATCGCGGAGATGACGCGAAGACCTTGTGCCATCTGCGAGGCATTTCCGCACCGTGGGCCGGCCCGCAGGGCCTGCCTGACCGGCCGAAGAGGCCCCAAACGGGGCTCCAGGGCGGCCCCTGAGACCATCCCAGACCCCCTCGCGTTGAAGAAAATCGCAGGCCTAGAGATTGACAGCAACACCAATATCGGCGGTGTGCATCCACCGAGGGAGGGAGATCCCGATCTCGGTGATGGTGGTAATATTCTTGCTTCCAAGGTGGCCGAAATATTGCCACCAACACCGAAATCGGGGATCGTCTTCCCCCTGTGGAGGCAACCCCCTGTCTTGGTGTTGGTGCCCATTTCTAGGCTTCCAAAAAGAATCGCGACGGCAGGTTTTTCGTTATTTTCGGCCTCCAGAGACCCTTCCCGGGACCCCGGGACCGTCACGCCTTGACTCAGGAGGAAGAGCTAGTCGCGGGGAAGGAGTCCAGACCTGTTGGGGCCCAGACCTTTGGGGGTCGACGTTGTTCAGGCGGGGAAGAAACACACAGACACAATGAATCGTCGATTCCTGGGACAATGCGGAAAATATGGGAAGTGGGGGGGAAGACAAAAACCCAGAAGATATGGAAACATATGGGAAATTCTGTCATTTGTGTGTACTTCTTGGTGTGTCCCTGGGCCCCGTCCGTTGTGACAGAAGTCGTGACGCCGGGGCTCCCGGATCGCAGACCTGCTGGAGGCGTGGTGCTCCGGGCGGCGCCCTCGAGGCCTGGGAGCGCCCAGGGGCGCCCGTGCAGTCCAGGGCGCCCCCAGGCAGGAGGGAGGCATCAGGGCCCCCCCTCGTCCTGCCCTCCTCCTCCGCTCTCAGACGAATATCGTAATCTCGCCCAACCCGCGCCGACACCGACACCAAGGACTTTCTTTTCCTCCTCCTCCCTCTCTCTTCCTAACTTTTTACATGTCTCGCATTGCATGAATCCAGACACCTCAGATCCTAGAGGCCATGGCCTCACCCACCTGGTCTGCCCTAGGCCCGGACGCTGTCCGCAACGGTGGTCGCATCGCATCGCATCGCATCCTCCTCCGCTCTCAAAGTACACGCGGGTCGTTGAAAGTAGATATTTTTTTGGATTCCCAGATCCCAGTCTACTTCGAGCGCCTACCTACTTCAGAAGCCGATGCGTTTTGTGCTGTTTTTTTTTTTTCTCTGGGAGGTCCTGAACTCAGTCTGCTTGATCCGCCTTCCTACTTCATGTTTCTATATACTTCTTCCGACCGGCGTGTACACTCGGAGGTGGATAGATTTCCTACCCTGACACGCCGATTCAGGAATTGGCCGTTTTCGGTTCGCGAGAGGGCGTCGCGGCCGTCGTTTTTGCGGGTCCAGGTCCGTCGGTTTCGATCCTAGGCCGTTTTCACTCAGGGGAGGTTTACTAAAGGGAGGCTTGTCCACCGCCGAGTACACATCATGAATCTCAATCTCCTCTGTTCCCGTCCTCCGTCCGGCAGACGGCCTGTTCTCTCCGCGTTACATCTGTAAACACACCGGGGTCACCTGAGTTCTGAGTTCACACCTGAGTACACCTCAGTCACCTGCGTCACCTGTTCTCTCCACCTTACATATGTAAACACGCCTGAGTCACCTGTCCTGCTCCTCAGCCGATCTGGGGACTATTTTTTGAGTATTTGTTGACCTTTTTTGGAATATGTTTTGGGGTATTTTTTATTTTTCGTCGAAAATCCCCCTGTAGGGGGGCAGGCCCGACATAACCCTGCTCCTCAGCCCCACTTCCCGTTCCTCTCTCCCCCGATCAGCTTCGAACATCTCCAGCAGCCTTCCAGAACCACCCGGGAAGCTCGGGCATCCGCTGCAAGGCGCCCGGAGACGCTCGACACACGGGCCGAGACCCTTTCGAGCTCCCCCTTCCCCCCTCCTCCCGCCTCCCTCCTGCCCCTGCTCGCCCCCCCCCCTCCCCCTCGCGCGAGCATGGCGCTGTCGATGTTCGAGCAGGCCTCCTCCCTGCTGCTGGGACTCTTCGACTACAACCGGGAGAACTTCAGGCGCGCGCGCGCGGCGCGCTGCTCTCCCGCCCCGCGCGTGCCGCCACGGTGCTCCGCGCGTGCGCCCCCCGCCCTGCGGCCCCCGCGGCCAGCCCCGGTGCCGCCGGCCTCTCCCCTCGGGAAGGGCGCCGCGGGCCCCGCGGAGGGGGAGGACGGGCACTGGTCCGCCCATCCGGCCACGCGCAGATCATCGAGAGCAAAAGGGCCCCGACCCCTAACTGCACGATGGCGACGTGGTCCCCATCTTGGGTCCCCGTCTCCGCACCAGGGGTGCGGGCGGTTTGGCATGATACATCTTCGGAGAAGATCCCCTGTCCCTGATTTTTCTGGCCCCCTCCTGACTTAGGTCCCCTCCCCTCCCAAAAGGGTTGAGGGTCCTTTTATTGCGTATCAGAAGAGGGGGTGGGGAGAGGGGGAGGAGGAGGAGGAGGAGGAGGAGGAGGAGGAGGAGGAGGAGGAGGAGGAGGAGGAGGAGGAGGAGGTAGACGTGCGAATCGTCCCTAGGGGGGGACGGGCCGACTTAGCGGCCTGCGCGGTGAGGCCGTAGTCTCTCAGAGGAAAGTGTCGTTTTGGAACGCCTTGTCCGGAGCCTGGAACAGCGAGTCCTTGAGTATTCCTCGGCGCTGTTCTGAGCACGAGCAGTGGCCACCTCGTAACACTGTTTTCCGAACACATATCTGAAACAAACTCCCGGGGCAGCGAGTGCCTCACGCAATTCTTCAACACCAGTACACTGCTTACGTCGGAGTTGAGACAGAAGCCGCTTGCATTATCCTCAGAAGTGTTTCGGATTTGCTCAGGGGATCACCAGTACCACCATGAAGCCGGCTGCAGATTATTCGCCACATGCCAGATCGGCGCAAATCGCCGTACTCCTTCTCGAACTCTCCTCTAGTAAGACTCGTAGTCGGTGCACGGGGGCATAACCGCAGGATGCGTTCTCAAGCTGTCAAATAATCATACGTGTTTGCGTCCAGGTCCTTTGCGTAATACCGCTTTCCCGGGGACTCGACGATTTCTGCGACCTCCGAGCACTTCGTGGCCAACGTGCGCGTCGCACGATGTACGAGCACATTTCTATGCACAAGAACTTCCCATTTTCCGTTCCATTTGATTGCATCACCAATGTCAGACTGATCACGGTCTTCTGATCCAGAATTGTTTTCCACCAGGGGCTCGCAGTTGGCCTCACAGAGGGAACGATCTCCGTTTCTGGTCATATTTGCTGCTGTGCGGGATAATAGCTCGTTCAACACATCATCAATGGCTGGCACCATTGGCGGGTGAGATGTTACCAATATCGTTTCCAATCTGTTCTACCGCACATTTGCTTGAGATTAAATTTCGGATGCCGTGTTCTTGGACTCCGGGCTTGGACTGCGAGCCCTCGTCAGTTGTGATAAGTATGTCGCCGGATCCACCGTCTGCTTGTCTCTCATCTCATCGGTTTTGTGAAATAGTGTTTCAAGGCGTGCTTGAAAACCCATGATGCTCGAACTCATAATCTGCTGCGATACGTTGACGTCGTGTATCGCCCATTGCATTTGACCGATTGACTGCTGCACGCCATCGCGACATGTCAGGGCGCGGCCTCACTGACACGAGAAAGGGGCCTTGCTTGGGCTTGCCTTGAGCCGCTTGAGCCACTCCTGCTCGGGGGGAGGGGGAAGGCTTCTTGAAAGCACCCTGCTTCTCAGAAGGCGCGGGCCTTGTCCACAGATGTAGGGCCGGTGCCTTCCAAAGAAGCAGCCTCCTTCTAAGAAACCCTCCCCCTCCCCCTACCTCCTTGCGCGCGCCGCCAAGAAAGAGAGTACCACTGACATGCTGCCGTTGAGAATCCATTAGTGTGCTACGGTGGGGAACTGTTGGATAGTGCGTCGCTCCGCCAGTTTTGGCCCACCACGCTTCGGCGCGACGCGCTGCGGTAGGTTCGTGTCGTGTCGACCGGCGGCGACCCCGCCAGCGGCGGTCAACTCTGAACGCCACGGGCGACCCAGAATCGTTTGACGCGAAGCGATTTTGGACGTCTCGGAAACGGCCGATCGTTCCAGGCGGAACGATCCCCACGGGTGTCCGAGACCAACGCCTCGGAAACGGCCGATCGTTCCAGGCGGAACGATCCCCACGGGTGTCGGAGACCAGCGCCGGAGTCGGCACGGCACGAACCTGACGCGTGTCCAAATCCCGGTCCCTGCGCGACGATTCCCCGAGTTCTTCTCGAGCCTCCCACCCCACGGAGCGGAGCGACGCGCTATGTACGCCTGCAGGGCACAGCGTGTCGCCGGGGCCGCCGCGGCAGCGCGCGAAGCAAAAGTTCCCGGCCGCATCAATGGCACGCTGGCGTTGGGAGCCCGCCCATCCGCGTGTTGCTCCTTTGCTCTCGTTCGAAGACTGGGCGTTTCTTCAACAGTGACACCCCGATGGATTGCCCACGGCGGCGTCATTGATGCTGTCTTTGCTCCCCTAAGTGGTCCCCCTCGAGGGGCGTTGGGAGGCGCGCGGCCGCTCGTTCCAGGCGGCTGGCCGAGGATGGCACGTGGTGCTGCAGGCTCGTGGTTTTCGGGTGGGCAGCTGCCAGAAAAAGGCTTGAGGCTCGAGCCGAATAATCTTCGACATCGAGGGCAGGCAGTGCGCCGATTGTACTGCGCGCTCTTTGGGGGCGCTCCACGAGCGCGTATCAGAGCAGTTCTGTTCGTGCCTTGCTTCCCTTGGCTCCATCCATGCTGCCTGCACTTGGCCAAGGCAGGCTATATTTTTTCAGCATGCTGTCATTTCTGGGCATCATAGACCGCCTGGTGTGTACCGCAGTGGCTTCACAAGGAGGAGCCGTTGGCAGACTTGCCGGACACATGCCCCGCTGAGAAGCGGGGAGAGCATGAGCAGGAGGATTATGATGAGAACAACGGGGATGAGGAGGAGAAGCCAGAAGAGAAATGGTGAGATGAAGTCAGGTCCCCGAAAACCAGGACATTGCAAATCAGGATTTGATCAGGTCCAGCGTGGGGAAGCACAGATTTCATCATGATTCGACGCATCGCTGCGGTTGCCTTGGGTGCGCAAGTGTCGTGGCTTGCCCATGTTCCCTTTTGACAGGACCCTGAGAAGGGAAAGATGGGGGGAAAGATGGGGGAAGACTGGGTGTCTGAATCGGGGCGGATCCCTGCCCTCCACGACGGCTGCAAACTCAGAGCTGAGCCCTTGGGGGAGCTCGAAAGGCGTTGCCATCTTCTTGACCCTCGCTTGCACGGTAGCGAAGGCCCCACGCAGCTCGGAGAAGCAAAGGCGTGACGGAAGCATGCCCGCGCATCAAGACGCCCAGTGTCTGTAGGCCGTGACGCGCCTAGGATCACACATATCAACGGTGCCAGTGCGTCTGGTTGAGTTTTCTCTCTAAGATCCGATCTCCCCACTTGAGTGTCGAGGCCTTCGCTTCAGAGGAGGCAGCGCTCGCAGTTCATCACGCATCTCCAGCAACCTGCCGCCAGCAGCTTGGCACCTTGTCCCCGCGACACGATGGGGGCATTAACTCAGATACCGAGGGTTCGAGGGGGGGGTCCATGACCACCGCATGGGGGGGTTCGATCTTCGGGGACCTCGGCACGCGGCGGATATGGATATCTTAGGGCACCCTGGGGGCGAACACACAGTCAACCCGCAAAGTAAGGATGGGCAACCTTCCCAAGGTTACCCTTGCATCCTTGCCTCCTCGGCCCATCCTTGGCCGCTTTCCCTGGCCCGCGCCCCAGCCCCAAAGCCTCGACGTGGCCTTCCAAGGCCCTTGCATCCTTACCGCGCATGCGTTTTTACACGGGTGAACTGCATAGCCATCGCCGCCGCCTGCGGTCCCGGGGCATCGTTTCTCCCGGCGCTGGACATGGATGCATCCCAGCCTCGCAGAGGCGGCGGCGGCCCGAACCTTCACGAGCTCTCGCTCTCCCGGCCCCCGCCCTGTCCGTGGCCGACGGCTGTGGAGCCGCCCTCGGCGCGACGAGAGCCGCGGAGCCCGCGCCCCCTCCCACTCGCTCCCCCGTCTTGGCATCGCTCTCGGACGCGTGCATTTTTTCTCCGAGAGAACTATCGAAGAAACAACGCCGTACACATAAACTTTTGGCGCTCCGCGCGGATTTCTTGGATCCGCGCTGGGCCCCCCCTGGCGGCGCCTCCGGCGCCGCCCCTGGCGCGCCTCGCCTCGCCAGGGCATCCGGGCCGCGCAGAGGGCGCGGAGGAGCACGTGGGCCCCCAGGGCTCCCCCCCCGATTTCCGCCCTCGATCGACACAAGGCCTGCCCGGCTCGCACCGAGAGGCCGTTGAACCTCCGCGGATGTCACGAACTCTCGCGCGGTCTCGGAGGGAATTGGAGGAGGATGAGGCGGAGGAGGAGGAGGAGGAGGAGGAGGAGGAGGAGGAGGAGAAGGACGAGGAGGAGGAGGAGGAGGAGGAGGAGGAGGAGGAGGAGGAGGAGGAGGAGGAGGAGGAGGAGGAGGGGGAGGGAGGAGGAGGAGGAGGAGGAGGAGGAGGAGGAGGAGGAGGAGGAGGAGGAGGTGGCAGCAGCAGCAGCAGCAGCAGGAGCAGGGGCAGGAGCAGGACCAGGAGCAGGAACATCAGCGACAAGCGCAACCGCATGGGCAACCGCCGCAGGGCCCACGACCGTATCCTGCTCAGACAGCAGAGATTTCCTCGTCGCGAGCCTACGGAATCGCAGCACGGAAGGGGGTGCACGGATTGGCTCTGAGAGAGGCAGTGCGAGGTGCCAGCAACGCCCTCGGAACCCACGACACCAGCGCCACCGACACTTTGCTGGGCCCTCGCGCATGGACGCTGGCCGAAAGTCCGAACGATTGACATCACACGGGGAATGCCGTGGCCGCCCCCCGAGGGAACGCGCAGATTTTTTGGCCAGGCCCCGAGGGCCCCGAAGGGGAGCCCACAGCCCTGGTCTTCTGCCTCGCCCCTGCGAGCAGCACCGGCGTCGAGAGCGTGCGCCCGCGGGTTCCTCGTGGTCCTTGGCCGCCTGCTGCAGCCCCGAGGGGGGCCTGTCGTGGAACACACAGCTGCTCGGGCTCGACACGGCGAGGGCTACTTCCGGGCGGGGGAATGGCGAGGATGATGAGGATGAGGATGATGATGATGATGCTGATGTTGATGCTGCTGCTGCTGCTGATGATGAAGTTGATGGTACCGATAATGCTGCTGCTGATGATTATGCTGATGAGTATGATGATTATGATGATGCTGATGGTGGTGATGCTGATGTTGATTATGGTGATCATGCTGATGCTGCTGATGATGATGCTGATTACCATCATGACCATGATCATGATCATGAGGACGAGGATACTGATGAGGATGATGCTGCGGATGAATCTTATGATGATGAGGGGTTGATAATGCTGATGCTGACGATGATGATGCAGATGATGATGATGATGATGATGATGATGATGATGACGATCATGATGATGATGATGATGATGATGATGATGATGATGATGAGAATGATGATGATGATGATGATGATGATGATGATGATGCCGATGGCGATGATGATGCTGCTGTTGATGCTAATGATGATGATGATGCTGATGATGATGCTGATGTTGATGATGATGATGATGGTGGTGGTGATGGTGATGATGATGATGATGATGATGATGATGGTGGTGGTGATGGTGATGATGATGATGATGATGATGATGATGATGATGATGATGATGATGATGAGGATGAGGATTATGACGATGACGATCACGATGACGATGATGATGCAGGAGGAGGAGGAGAAGGAGGAGGAGCAGGAGGAGGAGGAGAAAGAGGCGGAACGCCACTGGTTAGCTGCGAGAGGTACCAGCAGGGCAACGAGGGCCACCACCTGAGCTACGAGTGCCACCGGCTGGGCTGCGAGGGCCGTTATCTGAACCACGAAGGCCACCTGCAGACCTGCGGGAGCCACCAGTAGGGCCACAGGCAGAGCTTACGAGACCCACCAGCTGAGCTACGAGGGCCACCGGCGGATCTACGAGGACCACGAATTGATGTGCGAGGGCCACATTTGAGCCTCAACGGCAGCAAGCAGAGCTCCGAGGGCCACCATTCGAGTTACGAGAGCCCTCAGCGGCGTGACGCGGAGCACAAGCCGAACTCCGAGAGCCACAAGCAAGGCTATGAGGGCCACTAGCGGAACTACGCAAGCATCCAACTGTGTTGCGAGGACCACAAGCTGAGCTACAAGGGCTACGCGCAGACCTGCTAGAGCCACTGGCACAGCTACCAGGGCAACCTGCAGAGTAACGAGAAGCACCGGCAGAGCTACGAGAGCCACAGACTGAGCCACTAGATCCACCAGCTGGTTACGAGGGCGACCGGCTGAGCCACGACGGTTGCAAGCTGCAAGAACAAACGGCACAACTACCAGGGACACTTGCTGAGCTAGGAGACCCACCGCCAGAGCTACGCGGGCATCCTGCTGATCTACGGGGGCAACGAGCCGAGCTCAGGGGAGGGCCACAAGCTGAGCTCCGAGAGCCACAAGCAGAGCTACGAGAGACACACGCTGAGCTACGAGGGACACCGGGTGATCTACGAGGACCACATGCAGTTCTACGAGGGCCACAACCTGGGCTCCTGGGGCAGCACGCATATCCCCGACGGCCACCAGCTGAGCTACGAGCGCCTCTAGCGGAGCTGCGAGGGCCACGGGCTGATCTACGACGGCCACAGGCAGAGCTCCAGGAGCCACCAGCACAGCTACAAGAGCCACAAACTCTCCTGCGAGGGCCGCAAGCTGCGCTACGGCGGCCACAAGCAGAGCTACGATTAGGACCAGCGGTGATACGAGGGTCACAATCTGAGCAACGAGAGCCACTGGCAGACCTACGAAGGCCACGGTCTGAGGTGCGAGGGCCACGAGGCGAGCTACGAGAACAACAAGCAGGGCTACGAAGACCAAAAGCTGAACTACCACGGGCACCTGCTGAATTACGGGGGCCGAAAGCTGAGCCGCTAGGGCCACAGCTTGCTGCAGATACGAGGGCAACCAGCTGAGATACGAGGTCTACGAGGGCCACTAGCCGCGCGGTCTGACGATCGGGATCGTTAGCTCCGACAGAGGGTGGCAGTCAGGATCAGTGGCTTCAAAGCGAACAAACGCCATAACGGCCTCGATGGTACCCTGGACGCAATGGACCCTGCTTAAGGGCGCTGGGCATTTCGATTCAAAGCGGCTACCGCGCCGGATAGGCCAATGCAGATCGCATCGATACTTGGCCCAAACGTGCGATCGCCGAGAACTTCCGAGAGACAGCGTTCATATTCCAGTACACAGACGAGATCTTAAACGAATGCGTACTCCGGCTGCTCTACGACGTGGCCGCGTCGGCGCCACATGATTTTTGACATATGTCCGTTGATGGGGGCACATTTGATGTATTCCAGACTGCCGCGGAAACGCGATGCTGACACGGCCACCTCGGGTGCCAGAGCCACTCCACGTGAGTCTGAACGTCGCGGCCCGCAGTAACTACTTGGGCCAGCCCTTCTCCGTCGTGGAGAACCTGGGCAAACGTAAGGGCCGCTCGGCGCCCACCCTCTACCGCATCTCCCTTCACCTTGCCTTTCCATGAGGCTCTAGGCAGAGACGGAGAGGTGGCCCTCTATTCCCCCTTCCCGGAAACGGCCACGGCCACCAAGAGACTTTTCGCAGTGCGTGCGTAGTAGTAGTAGTAGTAGTAGTAGTAGTAGTAGTAGTAGTAGTAGTAGTAGTAGTAGTAGTAGTAGTAGTAGTAGTAGTAGTAGTCGTAGTCGTAGTAGTCGTAGTCGTAGTCGTAGTCGTAGTCGTAGTAGTAGTAGTAGTAGTAGTAGTAGTAGTAGTAGTAGTAGTAGTAGTAGTAGTAGTAGTAGTAGTAGTAGTAGTAGTAGTAGTAGTAGTAGTAGTAGTAGTCAGTAGTAGTAGTAGTAGTAGGTAGTAGTAGTAGTAGTAGTAGTAGTAGTAGTAGTAGTAGTAGTTAGTAGTAGTAGTAGTAGTAGTAGTAGTAGTAGTAGTAGTAGTAGTAGTAGTAGTAGTAGTAGTAGTAGTAGTAGTAGTAGTAGTAGTAGTAGTAGTAGTAGTAGTAGTAGTAGTAGTAGAAGTAGTAGTGTCGGAGTAGTAGTAGTAGTAGTAGTAGTAGTAGTAGTAGTAGTAGTAGTAGTAGTAGTAGTAGTAGTAGTAGTAGTCGTAGTCGTAGGTAGTAGTAGTAGTAGTAGCAGTAGTAGTAGTAGTAGTAGTAGCAGTAGCAGTAGTAGTAGTAGTAGTCGTAGTAGTAGTAGTAGTAGTAGTAGTAGTATTAGTAGTAGTAGTAGTAGTAGTAGTAGTAGTAGTAGTAGTAGTAATAGTAGTAGTAGTAGTGGTAGTAGTAGTAGTAGTAGTAGTAGTAGTCGTAGTAGTAATAGTGGTAGTAGTAGTTGTAGTGGTAGTGATAGTAGTAATAGTAGTAGTAGTAGTAGTAGTAGTAGTAGTAGTAGTAGTAGGATTAGCAGTTGTAGTAGGAGTTGTAGCAGTACCAGGCGAGTACATGGCCTCAGTTGCACACTGCTGAGCTTATAAGAGAAGCCACATGGCTTTGATGCAGGTGTATCCATCAGTTCTGAAAACCGATGCGAGCGACCCTCGTTGCCCGTCCCATGAGTCCACTGCTGAGCACGAGTGCTTCATCGCACCTGCGACCATGATATTGTGCATGCCAGTTGGGTTTTTGGTCAGAGTGTGTTTGAAGGCCCCGCGCGCGCTGTGCGTCGCGCTGTCCCATACCATTGGGGCCCGCAGGTCTTGGATGTATGCTGTTTGTTATGACTTGGAGTTGCTTACTGCACATTCTTGCTCGTTTTCAGGATACGCAGGCACATCCATTCGTGAACGGGCGCCAGTGGTCCGTTCCAGTCCGAAACGCTTCAGACGGGCGCTGAAGGACGCCAGGCGTGAACGTGCGTTTAACGATGTGTGAGGACCTGGGCCAAAACCCGGCGAATGGCCGAAGTGAACAGAACATTATCATGGCATGATTGTTCGTGCGTGTGTGGATCGAGGCAGAAGTTTGCCACCCATGCTTTTGCTGTGCATGGTGTGAGGCGCCACACGCGTGACTTGTTGATATTATTCATTGTCTGGCCTGCATGCAGCTATGCCATTCTCGCGTGAGAGTGGTGACACATATGGAGGAACGTTCGGACAAATGCCGTTCTGTCATAACGGCGACTAACAGCAAACTGCCGAACGATGCCATTACCGACCTTGATCGAAAGGGCGCCAAGGACGCCCGCGAACGAGCAAGAAAAGGCCAGAGGCCACACCCGCTGACGCTCCGGTCGGTCGGTTGGAAGGCCCATTGACGTTGGAAGCGTACGAGGCCGGCCTGAGCCATACGTCCCCTTCGTCTTCTTGTCTCTCTCGGTCTCGTGCGCCTTTGGGCGCTGCTAGAACACCGACTTCCTCTTAAGGAGGTTCTATATCCGAACTGTCCTTTTCCTTGCGCTCCGCCGTGCTCCCGTGCTCCCTCCTCGCACGAGCACGTTCCAAGCTGCTCGGAAACGAAACGAGGAGGAGGAGGAGGAGGGGGAGGAGGAGGGGTGATGATCAGGAGGAGAGGACGATGAGGAGGAGCAGTAAGAAGAGGGGGAAGTGGGGGACAAACGGTGCAAATAGTGGTGGTAGAAGCTTTCCAGCCTCCCGCCCCTGGCAGTTTTGACCGGCGACAGCGGCAGATCATGGAGTACCAGCTCCTGGACAAGCGCATCGAGCAGGGCGACCTTTGGCGCGAGGAGCAGTGGAGGAAGGAGGACGAGGACGAGGAGGGGGAGAAGGGGTTGTGGACCAGGGTGGACCAAAGATGCATACTCCGAGTTTCTTAATAAGCGTCGGGGGGGCGTTACCCCCGCCGACAGCCCCGCATCGACCCCCGTCGCGGGCAGCCACCGCGTGCCGAAGGCGCTCAGACCCCCGTCGCGGCGCGACGACGAGACGACGACCACGCTTATTAGAAACCCAGAGTCCGCGATGCTGCAATAACCCTACCGTGCCCAGTTCCCTCCTCATGCGCCTCCACGGTCCGCCTTTTTCGCTGCACGAGGCGACCCCCCCCTCGAAAGAGACTGGCGCAGCTGGACCTGCCATCTCTGCGAGGGCCCCACTTTGAACAGGAACTGCTCTGCATCTGTCTGATGTGTGTTCCGGGGCGCGAAGAATCAATGACCATACCCATCGGCCGTCGAAAGCCTGCATTATTGGACTCCCAGATTCCAGTCTGCTTTAAGCGCCTTCCTACTTCAGTGATCGAGTAGCTTCACCTTTTCCGTCCTCCCTAGGGGGCGGACGGAACCCAATCTGTTTTCAACGCCTTCCTACTTCATGTTTCCACTTTCCTCTTCCGACCGAGGGGTACAGTTCAGCGAGATGTCCAGTGAGATCCCCCTTTCGACGAAAGACCGCCCCCCTCATCCGTTTCACGGCTGCACGAGCTTACCCTTGTTGTCAGGAAGTGCGAGGAAGCCTCAAGCGACAGTTCCATTTTGCAAGAGAGCCGCCATGGACCCGTGCGGCGCTACGCGCGTTGAACCTTCGGGCCCTTAAATCTTGACCTAACGAAGCCTCAAACAGGAACTCCAGTTTGGAAAAAGGCATTCCTCCATCCAGCTAAACAATGTATCCATCACCCTGCGACGAGCCTCCCAACTTTATAACAAGTGCGCAGAGCACTTGGCCCAACTGTGTGCGGCCCAACCGCCGCGTCGTGTGCAAGCTACGTGGGATGATCGTGCGCGTTGTACGACTCACAGGGCAGCACTAGAAGGACGTGGAGCGAGGCCCCAGGCTTGGAGAGGAAGGAGACGGGAAGGAGGGGTAAGAGAAGGAACGAAAGGGGGGCCTAAAAGTCAACGCGGCAGCAACAGGGCTTTGGGGACGGAGGGAAAGGGTTACAACGAAGGAGGTAGGCTAAGGAGGTCAGCGATTTTCCCCAGGAGCTCGCTGATGATTAGTGATGCCGCCCCGGTGTCGCCCTAGCGCCCTGAATTATGAGCTGCTCGTAACTCGGCGGCAAGCCTGGGGGGAAGTGAGAAGGATCGTGCCTTCTCAGAAGGCTCGGAAGACCCCTGGCCTTCTGAGAAGTGTTGTAAGCCTTCCCCGAAGACACATACGACGTCTCGGAAGGCGCGAAGGCTTCTGAGAAGTCCAGCCGCCTTCTGAGAAGGCCTTCTCCTTCTCACTTCCCCCCCTCGCTCGCCGCCGAGTAACTACATCAGGAAGCGGACAAGGGCCCAGCTCGCCCGCCCCCCAGGTATGGCGAGGTCTTGTCTGCATTCCCGACGGGGCGTCACTCCGCTGGGCCCCAAGCGGCCGTCGAAAGTGCCGACAGTGCTGTTGTTCGCAGCCCTCCGAGGCGAAGTCTAATCGAAATCCCCGGCGGGGCGCCGCTCCGCTGGACCCCCCGTCAGCCCTTGAAGGCGGCGACCGCTTCTCAGCTCGCCGCCCCCCAGGCATGGTGAGGTCTGCTCCAAATCCCCGGCGGGGCGTCACTCCGCGGTTCCCCCCAAGCAGCCTTCGAAAGCGGCGCCAGTTTCGCAGCTCATCGCCCCCCCCCACCCCCAGGGATGGCGAGGACGAGTTAATCTGCATCCCCCGCGGGACCCCACTATGCTGGACCCCCCAGGAGCTCTTGCAAGTGGCACCAGTTTCGTAATTCGTAGCCCCCCCCCCCCAGGGAGGGCGAGGTCTAATCTGAATTCCCGGTGGGACCCTACTATATTGACCCCTCCAGCAGCCCACGAAAGTGGCGATAGTCTTACATTCCGCAGCCGCCAGGCATGGTGAGGTCGAGCATGTACCCCCGTAGGACCCCACTACGTATATTGGCCCCCACAGCAGCCGCCGAAAGTGGCGACAGCTTCACCTTCAAAGCCCCCCAGGCATGGCGAGGTAGTTATGAGGCAGGTCGGAAGCAGTGGGAAGCGAGGAGGGGTGAGGAGGGGGAGGCGGGAAGAGGAGGAGGACGGCTGGAGACCACGATGCTCTATTCAGAATTACCCTGACGACGTACCCAACCCTTGCGCAACGCATGGCCAGAATAGCTGGGCAGACATCATAGGGGGTGGCATCGTGGGAAGAGGGCTATATATGTTCTGCGAGCAGTATGTGGGAGGCTCGCGAGGTGCGCGGCCCGCAGGACACCGATCAATGTACACGGGCTTGGTGGAGGTGATTAGTTGGCTCCCTTGGTCGAGGGGAAAGTGGGGCGAGGACTGAGAGGAGAAGGCGGGTAGGGAGTCTAAAACCTATGCGGGGAAGCAGCAACCGGACATGGCAGCAGCACGAGAGTGACGACGAACAAAGGTGAAAGGAAGGACCGAGATGATGTTTCTAGGTATGCCAGCAATCAGCCATTTAAAGTGGAGACAGTTTCACGGATCGACCCCCCCCAGGGATGGTGAGGTTTAATGATTCAACCTCACCATCCCAAGATTAAACTTTAATCTGAGTCCGCGTAAGACCCCCATTATGCCAGGCACCCGACAGCCCTCGAACGTGGCGTCAGTTTCTCAAATCGCAGCCCCCCCCCAGGGATGGCGAGGTCGAATCTCAGTCGGCTGAAGACGTTGCTCCGCTGGAACCGACATGTTCGCAGTTCGCACCGCAGGGGAGGGGTAAACCCCTCCCCGAAGGGGCAGAAGGGGATTGGAAGAGAACCCGCCCTAGACCACCTGTGCCCAGAGGGCTGCTGGGATTTTGGGCCTCCCAGATGGTGTCGGGGCAGGTGGGGCTGGAGGATCGCGCCGCATCGCCGATGCATCGTTGATGCGGCTCGATGTGGAGCCAGATTTTCTCTACGCCGGCGACACCGATGCATCGCCTTCGGTAGCAAATCATGGGTGCCGGGTGTACCCTCTTAATGCAGTCTTCGTCGACTAGCGTCGATTAGCGTCTGGGAGCCGATGAGATAGTGCCGACTTGGCGTCGTTCAGCGTCGATTTAGCGTCGACTAGCGTCGATTAGCGTCGATTTGTAAGAATCGACGAGATGATATGGGAGGCTCCCATGAGTTGTCACCGAAATCGCCGACGTCGCCGATGCATCGGCGATGCATCGGCGATTCATCGGCGTTGAGGCGCGATCCTCCGACCCCATCTGCTCGGACTTCCTTTGGGAGGCCTCCGATGAACGGCCTCGGCTGCCAAAAACAGCCAGGCCTGTTCCAGGTGGGATGGTCCGCGCCGTGCCGGGAAGCCAGCGCGCAGGCCGCCACGGCACAAACCCGCAGGTGCGCCCGCCCCGACACGCTCCGACCCGCTCGTCCGGGTCCGCCCGCCTATGGGTGTGGTATGCGTGAGAGTCCTCTTCGGCATGAGTTGTTGTTTGTCCCAGCTATATTCACGTTTATTGTTGCTGGATCCAAAAACTCTGCGCGGAGCGCCAACAGTTTATGTTTATGGCGCTTGTTCTTCTAAAGTGGCGGCCCATGCCAAGAAACACCCTGCTTGACTCCAGGATGCCCTGGGTTTCTTGGGTTTCCATGGTTTTGCGATGGAAAGCGTGACGTTCCCACACCGAAAATCAATTGACGTCCTGGGGGTTCAGGGCTGGGTTTCTTGTGGAAGGTTTCTGGTGGTCGAGCTCCTACCTGTGGGCGAGGCGGTCCCTCCGCGGAGCGGCGTGGGGGAGCCGAAGCCCAGAGGCAAGCGCCTCGAGTTCAATGGCGTTTGGCCTTGAGCTTTCCATATGTAAGAAGCAGATCCTCAGGCACCGTTGAACGTCGCCGAGCGCGTTCCACTACTCGCAAAGTGCCAACTCGCAAGCGTCCGAATAGGCACATGTTGGCCGCGACGGAATGGACCGTCCATCCCCCGCGGCGGATCCAGGCTGGTTGCGCGCAGTTACTTTGTGAGTCGTGGAACGCGCTTGTGTCAAACAAGCACATGCTCCTCTTCCGCGCCCCCTTCCACGGCCCGTTTCCTTCAGGGCTCCAGTTCCTCGTGCCATGGCGGAGGAGGAGGGGGGACGTGGGCGACGACGGCGGCGGCGGCGGCGACGACGACGGCTCTTCGGTCCCGGAGGACGTCCGGGGCTCGCTCGGGCTGGTGCCCGAGAAGATGGATGTATACCTCACAGTGATCGCGCTGGAGCTGACCCTGGTCGGCGTGGCGCTCTGCAAGGCGGGCCTGGGCGAGCGCGGGCACGAGGGCGGGGGGGAGGGAAGGAGGGGGGAGGAAGAGGAGGAGGGAGGGAGGGAGCAGGAGGAGGGAGGGAGGGAGCAGGAGCAGGAGGAGGAAGGAGGAGGAGGAGGAGGAGGAGGAGGAGAGGAGGAGGAGGAGGAGGAAGAGGAAGAGGAAGAGGAGGAGGAAGATTTTAAGGGAGGAGGAGGAGGAACTCGGCAACGCCCATGAAGGTACCATTACATTCGACATTTGTAACACCCAAAGTCCAGACGAGTGTTGGGGTCAAGCTCGTCGGGGGGCGGCACAAAAGCTGCCGACGGCGCTCCGGCGCGCGAGCCCCGGGGAGGCTCGTCTCCTCCCGAGAGCTGAACCTGACCTCAGTCTCACGGAAAAGGCCTCGTTCCAGGCTGACTTCAGCCTCCGGTGCGGAGGAGGAGGAGGAGGAGGAGGAGGAGGAGGAGGAGGGGAGGAGGAGGAGGAGGAGGAGGGGGGAGGGGGGAGGAGGAGGGAGAGGGGGAGGAGGAGGAGGAGGAGGAGGAGGGAGGAGAGAGGAGGAGGAGGAGGAGGAGGAGGAGGAGGGAGGAGGAGAGGGAGGAGGAGGGAGGAGGAGGGGAGGAGGAGGAGGAGGAGGAGGAGGAGGAGGAGGAGGAGGAGGAGGAGGAGGAGGAGGAGGAGGAGGAGGAGGAAGAGGAGGATCCCTCCCACCCCCGCAGGAGGACCCCTCCTCCCTCCGCCCGGCGAGACAGTCAGAGCGCCTCTGGGGCGCGGCGGCACGAGCGAGGCAGGGCCGCCCAGGCCCACCTCGGCAGAGCGATCGTCGCGGGCACGATCGGGCAGCGCGGTGGCGCGAGACAACAACACCTGCCTTAGAGTTCCCTCCACAGGAGGAACATGCAGAAATAGTCAAACAATCGTCCGGGGGCAATTGTTTGATTGTTGTTTTGACTCTTTTTGGATCTTTTTGGGGTATTTTAACCTTTCGCCCAAGATCCCCCTGTATGGGGGACAGGCCCGACCTAATCTTGGAGGGGCGGCGGCCTTGCAATAGCCAAGCCAGTTGCCTCTCGCGTCGTGGGCGAACGGGTCCACGTCCCGAGCGGGGTGTGCCCGGATGCGTTTTTTTTTCTCTCGCAGTTTGGCGCTGGCTTCGCCCGTGGACCCAGCGATCTTCAGAGCTGAGGTTCGCGTGGTGTGACGTGCGTGCTGGCTGGATCAGCATGTGCGTTGTTCATGGTGTAGTGTTGCAGTGTCCCGCTGGCCGTCGTTCTCAACGGCCAGAAGGCCGGTGCCACAGTCAATATGACGCGGCGGCCGCTTTACCGCCGTGCCCCCCTGCAGCACGGACGGAGCCACGTGTAGTGCAGAACGCTCTGGAGCCGCGATCCCTCCCAGACGCGTCTGCAGTCTCTGCTTCCAGGGTCGCGTGCTCTCTGGCTCGATGTGGAGGTCGGGCCCCAGACATGCGACGTCTTGATTTTTTCAATACGGGGTCCCTGGAAGTCCCGACCCTTTCTCCGGGACCAGCTTTTCATCCCGAGACGTTTTTTGACAGGCCCTATAGGCCCGGCGAGGGCCCCCCGAGGCCGAGAGCTGGCAGAAAGCTCCCGCCCTGATTTTTACCTAACAGCGAAGACTGATAGGTTTCTAATGGGCTAAAAAGAGAGCAGCAGATGACTCCACAGGGGGGTCTGGGCGGGTGCCAGACAGGGTGCCGCAGAAGTCGTTTTAAGCCAACAGTCACACACTTCGTGCTCTTCGACCTCCCAGAACTCCATTCCCGGGCCACATTCTGAATGCCCGGAGCCAACTGTAGGCCACTTCGTGCTTCGACTTCGTGCTCTTCGACTTCCCAGAACTCCATTCCCGGGCCACATTTTGAATGCCCGGAGCCAACTGTAGGCCACTTCGTGCTCTTCGAGTTCCCAGAACTCCATTCCCGGGCCACATTTTGAATGCCCGGAGCCAGGCCACTTCGTGCTCTTCGAGTTCCCAGCTTCCATTCCCGGGCCACATTTTGAATGCCCGTAGCCAACTGAGGCTGAGGCAGGCTGCTGCTGAGGCAGGCTGAGGCTGAGGCTGAGGCAGGCTGAGGCTGAGGCAGGCTGAGGCTGAGGCTGAGGTTGAGGCTGAGGCTGAGGCTGAGGCAGGCTGAGGCAGACGCTGAGGCAGGCTGATGCTGAGGCAGGCTGAGGCTGAGGCTGAGGCTGATGCAGGCTGAGGCTGAGGCTGAGGCTAAGGTTGAGGCTGAGGCAGCTGAGGCTGAGGCTGAAGCAGGCTGAGGCTGAGGCTGAGGCTGAGGCTGCAAGCTGATACTGAGGCAGGCTGAGGCTGAGGCTGAGGCAGGCTGAGGCTGAGGCAGGCTGAGGCTGAGGCTGAGGCTGATGCAGGCTGAGGCTGAGGCAGGCTGAGGCTGAGGCCGAGGCTGAAGGCAGACTGAGGCTGAGGCTGAAGCAGGCTGAGGCTGAGGCTGAGGCAGGCTGAGGCTGAGGCTGAGGCAGGCTGAGGCTGAGGCAGGAGGCTGAGGTTGATGCAGGCTGAGGCTGAGGCCGGCTGAGGCTGAGGCCGAGGCTGAAGGCAGACTGAGGCTGAGGCTGAAGCAGGCTGAGGCTGAGGCTGAGGCAGGCTGAGGCTGAGGCTGAGGCAGGCTGATGCTGAGGCAGGCTGAGGCTGAGGCTGAGGCTGATGCTGGCTGAGGCTGAGGCAGGCTGAGGCTGAGGCCGAGGCTGAAGGCAGACTGAGGCTGAGGCTGAAGCAGGCTGAGGCTGAGGCTGAGGCAGGCTGAGGCTGAGGCTGAGGCAGGCTGATGCTGAGGCAGCCTGAGGCTGAGGCTGAGGCTGAGGCTGAGGCTGAGGCTGAGGCTGAGGCAGGCTGAGGCAGACGCTGAGGCAGGCTGAGGCAGACGCTGAGGCTGATGCAGGCTGAGGCTGAGGCAGGCTGAGGCTGAGGCTGAGGCTGAGGCTGAAGGCAGACTGAGGCTGAGGCTGAAGCAGGCTGAGGCTGAGGCTGAGGCAGGCTGAGGCTGAGGCAGGCTGAGGCTGAGGCTGAGGCAGGCTGAGGCTGTGGCTGTGACTGTGACTGCCGTTGCCGCTGCGACTGTCATCGCGAATGCGACTACGACTGCGAGAACAGCAGAATTCTACAACTGGATTCTCATCTGAATCTTAAGGGGAATGCTTCCAGATATGCTCCTACACATCGCTGTTAGGTTGCTTTGCCGGGATAATTACCTAACAGCGAAGACTGATAGGTTTCTAGTTGACTCAAAAGAGCTCACAGATCACTCCACAGGGGGGTCTGGGCGGGTGCCGGACAGGGTGCCGCAGAAGTCGTTTTAAGCCAACAGTCACACACTTCGTGCTCTTCGACCTCCCAGGACTCCATTCCCGGGCCACATTCTGAATGCCCGGAGCCAACTGTAGGCCACTTCGTGCTCTTCGACTTCCCAGAACTCCATTCCCTGGCCACATTTTGAAGGCCCGGAGCCAACTGTAGGCCACTTCGTGCTCTTCGAGTCCCCAGAACTCCATTCCCGGGCCACATTTTGAATGCCCGGAGCCAACTGTAGGCCACTTCGTGCTCTTCGAGTTCTCAAAACTCCATTCCCGGGCCACATTTTGGATGCCTGGAGCCAACTGTAGGCCACTTCGTGTACTTCGAGTTCCCAGAACTCCATTCCCGGGCCACATTTTGAATGCCCGTAGCCAACTGAGGCTGAGGCAGGCTGCTGCTGAGGCAGGCTGAGGCTGAGGCTGAGGCAGGCTGAGGCTGAGGCAGGCTGAGGCTGAGGCTGAGGTTGAGGCTGAGGCTGAGGCTGAAGCAGGCTGAGGCACACGCGGAGGCAAGCTGATGCTGAGGCAGGCTGAGGCTGAGGCTGAGGCTGATGCAGGCTGAGGCTGAGGCAGGCTGAGGCTGAGGCCGAGGCTGAAGGCAGACTGAGGCTGAGGCTGAAGCAGCCTGAGGCTGAGGCTGAGGCAGGCTGAGGCTGAGGCAGGCTGAGGCTGAGGCCGAGGCTGAAGGCCGACTGAGGCTGAGGCTGAAGCAGGCTGAGGCTGAGGCTGAGGCAGGCTGAGGCTGAGGCTGAGGCAGGCTGATGCTGAGGCAGGCTGAGGCTGAGGCTCAGGCTGATGCAGGCTGAGGCTTAGGCAGGCTGAGGCTGAGGCCGAGGCTGAAGGCAGACTGAGGCTGAGGCTGAAGCAGGCTGAGGCTGAGGCTCAGGCTGATGCAGGCTGAGGCTGAGGCATGCTGAGGCTGAGGCCGAGGCTGAAGGCAGACTGAGGCTGAGGCTGAAGCAGGCTGAGGCTGAGGCTGAGGCAGGCTGAGGCTGAGGCTGAGGCAGGCTGAGGCTGAGGCAGGCTGAGGCTGAGGCTGAGGCTGATGCAGGCTCAGGCTGAGGCAGGCTGAGGCTGAGGCCGAGGCTGCAGGCAGACTGAGGCTGAGGCTGAAGCAGGCTGAGGCTGAGGCTGAGGCAGGCTGAGGCTGAGGCTGAGGCAGGCTGATTCTGAGGCTGAGGCAGGCTGAGGCTGGGAAAAGGTTGAGGCTGGGCTGAGCAGGCTGAGGCTGAGGCTGAGGCAGGCTGAGGCTGATGCTGAGGCAGGCTGATGCTGAGGCTGATGCAGGCTGAGGCCGAGGCTGCAGGCAGCTGAGGCTGAGGCTGAAGCAGGCTGAGGCTGAGGCTGAGGCAGGCTGAGGCTGAGGCTGAGGCAGGCTGATACTGAGGCAGGCTGAGGCTGAGGCTGTGACTGTGACTGCCGTTGCCACTGCGACTGTCATCGCGAATGCGTTTGCGACTGCGAGAACAGGAGAATTCTACAACTGGATTCTCATCTGGATCTTAAGGGGAATGTTTCCATATATGCTTCTACACATCGCTTTAGGTTGCTTTGCCGGGATAATTTGTTTTACCTAACAGTTTGTTCTGATAGGTTTCTAGTGGTGTCAAAAGAGAGCAGCAGATGACTCCACAGGGGGGTCTGGGCGGGTGCCGGACAGGGTGCCGC